CATACATACACCACACTATATATACACACATATATATATATATATATATATACATACATACATACATACACCACACTATATATACACACATATATATATATATATATATATACACACATATACATATACACTGTAAAAATTTGGTTATTCAACACATGACAGGGGTGCTCCTGTAGGTATATAAATATGGCATGTAACTCAGCGTCTGTGTGTGAACACTGTGACAGCCAAAAGCAACGGGGCACTTAAAACTATTTTGTGAACATTTTGCATATTCGGGAAAGATTTGCTAGTCTTAAGGGCCACGGAGGATTTCCCCTCAGGGCGCAGGTGGTGGTCTGCTAGTTAACAACGTGCTGTCATGACCAGAAGGTTATTGACATAGAGTGTTCAGAATTTCTGACTTCACTAATATATCCAGCTATTAGCTGCTTTGGGTTAAATAAACTGGAAACATTAAAGAAAACGGCAGTGTTCTGGGGGCAGGGGGGGTTACGTGATATGGATAGGGAGGTTGGGGGATGTTGAGATAGATGTTGGTGTTCCTGGGGGCGGGGTTTGACCTGGGTGTTGTTATAGCAACGGCAATATCAATTACCTTGTTGATGAAGGAAAATAATAAGGGTGGCTTTCTGTCAAGGAAGTAGGGGTCTTTAATTTGGGAGCTTCTACAGCAAGGTTACAGGCAGCCAGCAAGAAATACAATGTAGAAAATATAAAATCCATCTATCCGCTGTTCAAACCCTTATCCAGGTCAGGCTTGCAGGGCCCAGAGTCTCTTCCAGCCTGGAGTACACCCTACAGAGGGTGCCAGTCCGTCACAGTGCACACGCATGCTTACACGTTACAGCCAGTTCAGACGTGGCATTCGACCTAATTGCATGTCTCTGTTTGGTGAACCTGGAGAGCCTCCAACCCAGAAATCAGAGGGGGTTTCGAACCCGTGATCCTGCTGGCATCCATGCTCTCTAGTGAGTTACTGTTCCCTCATAAATATGAAGTAAAATATGAGCTAAATCTGTTGTGTTTCCATACAGATACGCTGCTAAATTGATCGCAGGGGTGCTGGACTTCAAATCCATGATTGACAGGTAAGTTGGGGATCTTGCTGTTGTCTGTGTTTTGGGAGACGCTGATTATTTTGAGAACTGACATGCACGTCCCCCCCGATCTATGTTTTTCCTGCTGGGCCAGTGACACCCTCCCCTTGGAGTCCCTGGGGGGGAAGTCGCTCTGCATGAACCAGTACTACCACGTGCTCTCGTCCTGCCGCGTCCCCGGCACCAAGCGGGACAGTGTGGTCAACTACTCCACTAGCAAAACCCCGCCCACGCATGTCACCGTGGTGCACAACTTCCAGGTAAGGGGGGGGCTCCCCATGAGCACAATGGGCAAGAGTAAGGATCTGAGCGATGGCTGGACAACTGGGTCAGAGCATCTCCAAAGCGGCGGGGCTTATGGGGTGTTTATGGGGTGTTCCCGCTATGCAGGGGTCAGTACCTACCCGAGGGGACGTTAGACTTTCTCGTCTGTCATTCTGGTCACAAAAGTTCTGTCACAATGTGTTATTAGCGATCATTTTAATTTCCATTTTTTTATGATAAGCTACATTTCATAGCATTTAACTTTTACTCATTCCAACAAGCTTATAGATTATGCATTTATAAGGGCATGGAGAGAAAAGATAAACAGAGACAGGGACCATCACTTTTCACACAACACAAAGCAGATGAATGATTTTTTTTCTGCAGTGACAGTGGAACATAGTTTGCCCCATAACATTAGCTGCCGCTCCGACCAAAGTTTAGGAACCTAGTTCTTGCTTCTGGGCCGTCTTGACTGGGAACTTCTGTAGCTCCCGGCTGTTTCCGTGTGTCGCTTTCACATCACACAACAGGAACTTGGACCTTTATGCTAAATAACCATGGGAGAGACAAAACGTTTCTTGGATGAACTTCACAGGTAATTTCATACAAAACTGCACCGCCACATCAAAACAATCGAGGATGAACAAGAAGTTTTGTTAGTTATTGGGGGGATCAATCGCGAACAAAACGCCTTTTATTCTTTTAATTTTCCACAGAATAAAAATTTATGTAACGGTATTCTGGCAGAAAGTGCCGCCAGATGATTTAAAGTATACAGGAGAAGGTCCTTAGGTTTTATGCAAATAAAGTGATCGCTGAGCATATGTATGCATGCAGACTATGTTGTAATTCAGTTTGGCACATTCTGTAAGCTTCATAAAAAGGCTATATACATCAGCCCCCCCTCCCTATTTTGGTAGTCCCCAGGTTAACTCTGGGTTCCCCTCTGTCCTCCCCCCCAGTTCTTTACTTTGGATGTATATAACAGCGATGGTTCTCCGCTGACCGTGGACCAGATCTACATGCAGCTGGAGAAGATCTGGAACTCCTCCCTGCAGACCAACAAGGAACCTGTGGGCATCCTCACCTCGCAGCACCGCAACACCTGGGGCAAGGCCTACGCCAGCCTCATCAAGGGTGAGGGCACCCGCCTGGGGGGCGTGGGGAATGTGGGGGCGCTTGAGGCATTACAAGATGTGAAATGCCCGACTTGTCTTTGTTTATGGCTGGACGAAGGTGCCACCAGAAGAGTGGACAGTTCCTAGCCTTCAGAATTAGACTGCAATATCTACAGTTTGTTTCCTTAGCATGTCTATAAATTAGGAGAAATAGCACTAAACACTAGCATTAAACACTAGCATTAAACACTAGCATTAAACACTAGCATTAAACATTAGCATTAAACACTAGCATTAAACACTAGCACTAAACACTAGCACTAAACATTAGCATTAACAACTAGCACTAAACACTAGCATTAAACACTAGCATTAAACACTAGCACTAAACACTAGCACTAAACACTAGCACTAAACACTAGCACTAAACACTTGCATTAAACACTTGCATTAAGCACTTGCATTAAGCACTAGGTTACTCTCTGTCCCATTCTGACAGGCAGCCCATAGTGGCTGCTGAGCTCTGAGTACTCGTTGAGTGGGCCTATGCCTCAGGCCGAGCCTGCTCAGAGTGTCCCTTACGGCCTCTCACCCAGACAAGACCAACAAGGAGTCCGTAAGGGCGATCCAGAAGAGCATCTTCACGGTGTGCCTGGATGCGCCCATGCCGCGCGTGTCCGACGAGCTCTACCGCAGCCGCGTGGCCATGCAGATGCTGCACGGCGGGGGCAGTCGCTGGAACAGTGGCAACCGCTGGTTTGACAAGACCCTGCAGGTAAGGTGGGCAGGTGGGGCTGGGTGGGGGACATGGGGGAGAGGCTATGAATGGGGAGGGGCCATTGTACAATTGGGGGTGGAACTACACAGGGGATAGGGCCAGGGGGTAGGTGGTGCTGCAGAGAGGGAGGGGCCATGTGGTAGGTGGTGCTGCAGAGAGGGAGGGGCCATGTGGTAGGTGGTGCTGCATTAGGAAAGGGAAGAGTGTAAAGAGGTGGGGCCAGTACACAGAGTGAAGGGTTACTGCTGGAAATCCGTGGTCTGCCGCAGACAGCATCACAAATATGGTGGGTCTCCATCAACTGGACCATGTCGAAGCCCAACAGTGAGAAGCTGCAAGGAAGAGTCGTGTCGGATTACGTCATGATGTGTGACGTTGCCTTTGTGCTTTGATGTTTCGCCGTATGCAGTTTATAATTGGAGAAGACGGGTCATGTGGTCTGATCTATGAGCACGCCGCTGCAGAAGGGCCGCCCATCATGTCCCTGGTGGACCATGTGGTTAATTACACGTAAGGGAGACGCTGCGGCAAAGTACTAATGGTGCCGGTCACATTCTGAGCGTGACCGCGGTCGTGTCGCTGAGCAGGCCACGCATGCGCTTGTGTGTCTGGAGGAGCTGGCATGGCCGCCGCACGCTGTCACTGTCGGGGAGGGGGAGGGGGGAGTGTCAGTAATGTGCATGTCTTCCCTGGTTCCATCTCACATTCCAGGATTTGAGTTTGAGCTCGGGCTCTGCATCACGTGTTGGTGTGAGCGTGTGGTCCCTCATAACCGTTCTCGTCCCCTTCAGCTTCCCTTGCTTTTTGACAGTAGTGTTTCTCATGTAACTGTGCTGGGATTCCACAACAGAAGAGTCAGGTTTTGCAGAAAGGCTTTAGGAGGGAACAGATCCAGACTAAAGCGAAATGCATCCAGTTCTCCTCACCAACACTTTGGTGCATAACCCAAGGTTAAAGACGTATAAATGAGGACACCCACTAACAATAACCACTTGGTAAATAAACTGTTAGTAAATAAAGTATAAAGTAATCCAGGGAGATAATGCCCCATTAATATGATGTACTGTATATAGTGTGAGACTAAATTTTGAATTGCAAATAACACACAGTAGGAGGCATGGTAACACAGTGAAGATAGTTGTGGGTTTTCCATTGCAGCTTATTGAATCGCCTAAAAATGTGGGATAGCTAAGTGAAAGGGTTTTATGCTACGGTATCTTCGAAGGGACACTAGGCACTGCGTGTGGGGAACTTAATCCTGGAAAGAGAGAATGGAAAAGCAGTTGTGTGTGTAGCAGTGTCAGTTACCTGTTGCTGGATTTTGTTGTTCAGATGGTGAGAGCATTAGTGTCAGGGCTTTATACTCCTGGGGACGGGGGCATTTTTTGGAATACCTGGGGGACAGCATGCACTAACTTAGATTCCCCCACGCAGGGCTGTCCCAAAGCATAGATGAACTCAGTGGCTGCTTAGGGCCCAGTGTCCATTACGGGCCCCTCATCTGATCAAATTTTGCTTAACGCCCCCGAAAAGGTTGACCTGGCCCTGCCCCCACCTTGAATTATTGGACAGAGAGACCTGCCATGCTAAACGCTAACTCTCCTCCCCCTGAGCCTCACTGTGTCTTTGTGTGTTGCGCTGGGCAGGAAAAAGTCAGAGATGGTCCGCTCCCCCATGATTCCGCTGCCTATGCCGCAGAAACTGCGCTTCAACATCACGCCGGAGATCAAGAAGGACATCGAGAAAGCCAAGCAGAACATGAACATGTGAGCCAGCACCTGTAGTGGCGCCCCCTACCTTCACATACCATAAAGAGTCTGCCGAAATTTACCAAAAACTAGCAGTCTGAGTCCTGGCGGCGTCCTGACACAGTGTTCAGTCTAGGAATGAATTATGTGCCTGTGATATAGCTGATTTAATATCCCCACGGCCGGTCGTAAATGTGCCTTTTAGGGAAACTCATTATGACTGTACCGTTAATTATATCTCAGGTTAATCAGCAGATTATCAGGGGACAATGTTGAGGGGTGAAACTTACAGAACAGACCTCTGGATCCTCTGGCCTGGGGGGATGTAGCCTGATGTACTGTGTAGATGCAGTTGTTTGTCAGTCTTATATACCGCCCCTCCCCCCCCAGAATGGTGCATGATCTGGACATGAAGGCCATCATGTTTTCTCACTTTGGGAAAAATGTCCCCAAGTTACATAAGATGAGTCCCGACGCCTTCATCCAGATGGCGCTACAGCTCGCCTACTTCAGGTCAGTCACTCTTACTTCCACATACTATGCCTGATATTCCCTTCATGCATTTAAATACATGGCGGCCCAGCAGCAGAGGAGCTGGCCCTTAATATGTGCCATAACGAGCCCTTATCGTGCACTTGCTGATCTTTCCAGGATGTACCACATCTGCTGCTCCACCTACGAGAGCGCGTCGCTGCGCATGTACAGGTTGGGCCGCACCGACACCATCCGCTCCACCTCCATAGACTCGCTGCGGTTTGTGCAGGCCATGGACGACCCCTCCAAGTCGGTCAGTCGCGTATGGTGTCTCTGCAGGGACACTAATCACGAGTATTCTCTGTATTTATATTTTGACTTTCTGTCCCACTACCTTCACCGTGCACAGAATACAGAGAAGGTGGAGATGCTGGAGAAGGCTGTACGCGCCCACCGGTTGTACACGGACATGGTGAGCTTTTCGCAGCCCTGCGTGCTGACATCATCGGTCATGTGACACTCTGCCTGTCTCCCAACCATTGGGTCTTTTTCAATGCCAGGAACACAAAGATCGTACTTGTAGTCTTGGCAAGAGCAGTCTTGCTAACTCAAAAATAAACTTGGGGCGCAATGAATCATGGGATTGGTCTCATTTGGCGAGGATGCAACCAATGTATCCTTGATATTTGGGGCGGGGCAAGAACGACATACTGGAATTTTTACCGTCCTCTGTACTTCTGTTCTTAGTCTTAGTCTTCGGAAATGGAAGATGACGTAAAACGGGTAGATGAGAACACAAGTGCAGTCAAGTACGCCTACTGGGAAACACCCATTCACTTCACTGTTAGAGTAGCCCTGGTGTTTGAAAGAATCATTGGGTTGCTGGAAACATGAATTAGCCAAGGATAATCTTAGAGGATCTGTGATATGTAAATATGTAAAATCAATCTATTGTATGTCCTATACAGTAGGAGTATGGATAGACAATTTGCTTGATTATAGTTGCACAAGAGTAATTTTGTTTCTGTGGCTAATAAAGTGAGCTATTTCTCTGTTTACAAGAATACTCTGCATGTTTAACCTGAGCTGTTACTTAAGTTAATCGTCACGGTGAGCTAACCGTTGCTAACGAATCTCTAACTGGCTCCGCCAAGATGGAAGCTCGCGGTTTGGTCTGGTTTTTGGTAAGAACAGGAACTGGACTTCTGGGGCGGCAATAATCCATGTTCTTTGAGGCTAGTTCAATTTAGACTGTGGAAGAAGAATTTATGAATTATAACATATGTCTTCTAAGGAGAAAAAAAACTTTCTTCCATTACCATGATGAGGATGGATGTAAGGAAGGATGTGTGGCATTTGAGTACATGAGTTTCAGGTTCTATAGCACTGAGGAACCATGAAATCGATATAGCTTAAGCTGCAATTTGGTAGGTACCTAAAGGGGAGGGGTTGAGTTTAAGCTCTTTAACTTGTACTGGTTACTGCCCACACCGCTGGTTCTTTTAGAGATCAGTGCCAGGATGCTTGCTGTTTACATAGGGGGGTGAGGAAGGCTATGATTGGTTGAAATGTCAAGGCACACCTGCCTCAAACAGTCAAGAACACCGAATACCTGGTGCAGTACTGGGCTGACAAACACTGCTATGGAACATTCCAGAATGGGGTTGCCACTCATGGGCCTGTCTGTGTGTTTCTAGGCCATCCACGGTCAGGCGATCGACAGGCACCTGTTGGGACTGAAACTCCAGGCCATCGAGGATCTGACCTCCATGCCGGAGATGTTCATGGACACTGCCTACGCCGTGGCTCTGCACTACAACCTCTCCACCAGCCAGGTAGGTGCACGGAAGACCAAATAAGGACAGACGTGACGCTCATGTGACACTGGGGAATATGGCAGCTGGTTGGCATTAATAACATGATGCAGAGCTCGGCTGATAGTGGGGACGTCAGGCATCTGATAGACCAGTGCTTCCCAATCTAGTCCTTGGGGACCTACAGACAGTAAATGTTTTTGTTCCCTTCCATCTCCGAGTAGGGAGCAAAAATGTGGACTGTCTGGTAGGGAGCAAAAACGTGGACCATCTATGGGTCCCCACAAAGGAGGTTGGGAGACACTGCTCTAGCCGGTGATTAACGTCGGTTACCTTCCTAAGGTCCCAGCAAAGACGGACTGCGTGATGTGCTTTGGCCCCATGGTCCCCGATGGCTACGGCGTCTGCTACAACCCCATGGAAGAGCACATCAACTTCTCGGTGTCGGCCTTCAACAGCTGCGCAGAGACCAACGCTAACAAGCTGGCGAGCGGCTTAGAGGAGGCACTGCTGGACATGAGGGACTTGCTGGAGCAGACAACCAAGGCCAAACTCTGAGGGCCGGCTTGTGGGACCTGCTCCTTTGGGCTCCTCCATCATCCCAGCAGGCACCTGACAGCAGGGTAGAAGTGGGGCGGATCTTACCGGCGTGCCGCTTTCCTTCCTGCTTTACCTACTTCAGCTGAACATTTACAAAACACAGCCATTTTACTAAGCATGTTCAGGAACCAGCAGCCGCTCTCATCCCGATTGCTTGAACCTGCAATCATTCACTCAGTCCTTAACCACCATGCCACCTGCTGGCCAAAGCTGTGTATTTCTTTGTGTGTAGTCATTGGGAGGTCACCGAGATGTTCCTATGTTTCCTCCAGTTTAGATAGTTAGAAGTCAATTTTTTGTGTTTTTTTTCTTTTTCCCCGAAAGGTTAACATATGAAACCAAATTAAAGTAAAAACAGAAGATGAAATGTGATGTTTCGCTCAGGAATATACGTGTGGTTCGAGCATAGGTGTTTGTATATTGATTTTTATTATTAAGATCAATAGCCCCTGTAAATATCGCGTTTGCACATTTCATTTACGTATAGTATTTTATCACTTTAGAAGTTTGTTAAGCAGATTTAGAACCATAAAGTCTGTGGATATGTAAGAATGTCATTGACATTAAATAAATATGTATAATTACACAGGGATTGCCCTGTACAATCAGCAGTAGTGTTACACATTTCTCTGGGGTTCAATTTTTGTTGCATATTTAAAATCAAAATTACATTTTCATGCAGAAATACATGATTGCTTATGTCTGTAGCCTCAAAATGTGGTTTATAGGAGCTATTAGGATGTATACAAATCATGTTTTAATTTTATCTGACCCATCTCTAAACAGGTTGGTGGTTTGTTGGTTGAAAATTCAGTGTTTACTTGTCCCTGTTTATACATTTTGTGTAACAATAACTAGCTAGTTAACTATTAGCTGTCTAGAAAGAGTTCACATCTGTCTATTTTATAGTGAAAATGGGTGGCAGATTTTGTGGAGAGATTCAATAAAATAAGTTTCAAGAAGTTACATGTGTAATCTAACTCTAAACCAGACAAAACCTCAATTGAAGTTAAATTGCGCAACTTTTTGTTTATGGACTCCAACACGAGTGGTAATGGTATCAGCATTGACATGAAAAATGTCCAATCACAAAAAAGCTGTGCTTGATACAGTCCTGTTGGGGGAGATGGGCGGGGCCTGTGGAGGAGATGGGCGGGGCCTGTGGGAGGAGATGGGTGGGGCCTGTGGGAGGAGATGGGTGGGGCCTGTGGGGGGAGATGGGCGGGGCTGGTGGTAGGGACACAAAGCGCAGGCCATGGTGGGAGGGGCACAGCACAGCCACTCAAGGTCAGATGGCAGAATATTCCCCCTGGAAGCTCCCAGAATGCTGCAGGAAGCCTCCGTGGAACTCAATTTCCACAGCACTGCCAGCAGAGCGCCACAGGAACAGCTGGTTGCCAAGGAAAACGGTGGTCTTCATCGCCCTGACGTCCCGGATCTGGGGAGGGACAGAGAGGAGCTGAGTATTTGCTGGGCGGGCATCTCAGTGTCTCCCGCCAAAGTATACCACTCACCAGTATGAAGGTGGACTGGGTCGCAATGCCCTCCAGCGCTGGTTCTATACTCAGGGCCCGGATCTCAATCCGAGTGGATGGCTGGGTGTTGATGAAGACGCGGCAGGCCTGCCCGCTCGGTGCTGCCAGTCTCGTAGGGTTCACGATCTTGCCCGCCGGCCCGAACAGCTGCTGGTCACAGTCTGGGGCAGACAGCACAATGGGGATACCATCTATATGCGTCAACATCCTGTAACATGGAAAATTTCAGAGGCGGTGCTTTCCGTCAGAAAGGTCTATTTATACGGTGTGTCTGTATCAATCTGACACAGATGATGACATTGTTTTGATTGTTCTGTGAGACATTTCTGGCAATTTTACATTTTGTGTTCATGTTTTTGTTTGTTTACAGTTTTGAGAAAATGATCCATCATTTCAGCGAATATGTGTTGAGACATGTAGTTCCAGTCTAGTCCTAACTAGAATAAACAGGTGTTGGGACACAAGCCCAGTGCGTGATGGGATAGCTCTGCTCAGCAGTTGAGAGGGAAGTACTCCAGGTGTAGTAGTACTCCAGGTGTAGGAGAAGTACTCCAGGTGTAGATGAAAGGCTGATGTCGGTATGGATCCCACTGTCAGCACTGGCTCTGCTCTCCCTCCCAGTTCTCCCATCTCACCTCTGTAGAGGCCTTTCTTGGAGGACTTCAGGCTGCGGTAGGTGAGCAGGACCCCATTGCCGGCCGTGACCAGCCCCTGCCGCACCAGCAGGACATTGGTGTGACTGGTGATCGTAAAGCCGGAGACTCGCTCGCACTTTTTCACCAGCATCAGCCTGTCGTAGAACGCCACAAACTCCCCTGCACACAAACAGCGGGCAATGAAATGGAGCCTTAAATCCCATCTGGCCTGATCACAGGGAAAAGACATCTATCCATCTTCTATATATCTACTTGACTTGGACCTGTGGTCTCTGGCAGGAGCACAGGGCCGCCCATGGGGGGGGCAGTCTCTCGCAGGGCATAGGTGCTCTACATCACACTGAATTCAGAGAGCCCAATTCACATGATCATGGTTTTGGAGGGGAGGAAAGCAGAGTGGCCACAGCGGCCTCGCAAAACACGGGGAAACACGCAGACTCCACACAGGCAGAACTGGAGGCAGGATGCAAAACCTCAGCCTGCAGGCGGGAAGCTGCACCGTGACTCAGCCCAGCCCTGTGCGGGCCCTCAGCAAAATGTGATTAACCTAGCTGCCGTATGTCATCTGGCAAGCTGGTCAGATGGGGCGGCCACCTAGTGGCCACTGGGCAGTATGCCGTCAGTTCGTTTGTTTATGCCTTGGCCCTGCCCTGGACCCACTGATCCACTGCACCCCCTGGGGGAATATTATTGTAGAGTTTGACAATGATAGTGTGAGAATAGGAGCTGGGATTTCTGCTAAATACAGAGATTGTTCCTCAGTTTCTGTGATTTCTGCCCTACAGGAGCTGGCAGTAAGTCTTAGCATTAGCATTAGCATTAGCGTGAGCATCACAGTTATTCATAAGCCACCCACTGCTGGGGCAGTCCAGGGAGCTGAACTCCACGGTGACGCGGACCACCTCGTCCAGCGGCCGCCCGATGGTCAGGATACAGTCACGGCTGGTACCCCCGCTCAGGTTCACCTGGCCCGACTCCTGCAGGAGGAGCTGCCCACACGGACCTGGGGGGAGGGGATGCAGGGCGGGAGATGAGAGGCAGGACCAGGATCGACAAAATGGTCAGCTTTCCGGCCTCTCGGGGATAGATGGGAATGGGGAGGGGCCCTTAACTGGTCTGGGTGGGGACTGTAGGAGCTGGCGGGGGGGTCGTCAGCTGAGCGGTGACCTCTGGAGTGCTGGACGACACCACGCCCGTGACCTGATCGCCAGGGGTGGGGTGAGCCAGGCCTGTGGGGAGGCTTTCTGGGGTGGAGGGCTGCGCTGTGGCCTTGGGGGGATCTGGAGCCGGGGTGACACAGTGGTGGGGGTGGCACGCCTGGATGGTTATTGGTTTGGGCAGATGCATGCAGAGCAGCGGGCTCAGATGCTGGGGCTGGCCCGGTCCCACGCAGGACACCGCCCTGGACTGCACCCCATTCCCACAGGTCACAGAGCACTGAGGAGGGGGAGGGGGTAGGAGTCACCTGATACCTAAACCACGCCCCCGAACAGGTCAACTAAAACGGTATTGGAACATTAATGTGACACCCTCCTTCACGTTAATGAACATGAGCAGTTTTTTGCATCAAACATAAAATGTTCAAGGTTGGGAAACATAAATGGGTGACATTCTGATATTTTCATTATCTGCAAATAAACCTGAGATGTTTAATAAACCCGAGATTTTTGATGCAGCTAATTAATCCAGCGTCAGCTGCATTTCCAAATGGTGTTACAGCTGAATTTTGTGCTACGTTTCATTTTTGGTCGTTAATGTAAGGTAAGCACCTGCTTCGGAAGCCTCCCCATTTCCTCTAACGTGTGACCATAACAGGGCCGACATATATCACCGAACTCATCATCTGTTAGGTGCTGCCCTCTACTGGTGAGCAAGGGTAATGGCCCACACATACACATAAAAATGGCTCCCTAATATGCTCTTTCAAAATAAAGTGAAGATCTATCCATGGGCTGTACACTAACCTGTCGATTCAGATAAAACACAATTCAGAAACACCAAATCGGATCGAGAGCTCCATCCATACTATGAATACGTTTGTTAAAGAGCACCCAGAAAAGCAGTGGTTCACGTTTTAACGGGGTACATTGTCACAGTATTTTATGCTGCAGGCTTTTTGCTTAAAAGTGGTGTAAGCCCTGTCCATTTACAAAAATGTATATAAGACCCTTGACTAAATACTTCTGGATGGGTGATACCACTGATTTTCTTTTCAGTCTGATAGAGATGAAATTAAATTATTTTTATCCCAATAGCGATACTCCATGCTGGTCCCTTGCCAGGGGGTTAGGGGGACGATAAGTTACTTCCTCCCTATCAAAGCAGGGCTCTGACCCCACTGCTTGGAGAGCTTCAGCTGGGCTTCGTGTGGCTGCGACCTCCTACCTGACTCCAGTCCTGCACCTCCCACCTGAATGTGCAGACCAGCACCAGGCAGGGCTGTGTGGCGGCCGGCCTGTGGTTCGGGGGACAGTGGTCCTCAGTCAGCTCCCTCTCAGCTCCCTGCTCGAAGCGGACACAGGAGACACGCCGGCGGGAGACCCCCAGGCCGCAGGACGCCGAGCAGGACCCCACCTCCTGCACTCGCCATCTAGCCGGCAATAGCGTTAGCATTAGCGTTAGCATTAGCAATGCCTCTCTTTCTTTCACACTCTCGCTGTGTTACCGTGGTTACCTGGCAGGACAGGGCTCTGGGTTACACAGGACCCTTTCGGATGGGCGGGGCTCGGCGCACTCAGAGTCACTCACAATCTCCTCCCCCCCCAACTCTGTATCACGGGAGCAGTACGACACCTGGTGAGCCAGGCCCCCTCCGCACGTCGCGCTGCATGCACCCTGCTGGTAGCGCCACCTACAGGAAGGACACAGTAGTGCGGTGGTCCCTGCCTACTGATTCCCTGTTCCGGAGCCCTGTGAGATCACACTCACGTTGGAGGGCAGGCGGTGAGGTTGCAGAGTTCTGTGTACGGCTCTGGTTTGCTCGACCCGTTGCAGTAGACCTCCAGAACCTGCTGTGTGGAGCTGTGGTCCACACACGTGTACCATATGTGCTGCTGTCCTGCAGAGAGGAAGGATTCAGCACCACGCGGCATTTCCTACGTTCATATCCATGCAAACACAGACACACCTACCCATTCCACAGCTCTTTGAGCACTGGCCAATCATGGGGCTCCACACATACACTGGCTCCGCCCGTGGGGGCGGGGCCATGGCAAGTACCATCTTGTATTTCCCCTGTACCTGTGCAGGAGAAACTCTGATCACACGATTAGCCGCCCCCCAAAGCATGCCCAGATTTTGTGGAGGAAACCTGCTCCCCCACCTCGGCCTCTGTCTCCCAGCCGACGGGGCAGATGTTCACGACGCAGGGCACCGTGCTGGGCGGCCTTTCGGACTGCAGGCAGAGAGTGTCGTCCACATGGGAGTCGACATCACGCTCTGTGCGCACACAGGTCACCGCGCGCCAGGCCTCACCCGGGCCGCACACCGCCGAACACTCCCCAGGCTCGGAGACACGCCACCTGTGGTGCCCCCCCAACACACCACACACATCCAACATCAGTCCAGCCAGTGCTAGTCCCCCCCACCCATCTCTATGTCTTAAATTTGTTTCCTTTATGAATATAAAACACCTGCTGCCACCCTACATTTTAAAAAACACGTGTTTGGGACAGCGGCCGCTGAGGCAGAAATGGAGTCCAGTCTGGCTCCCGTACCTTACAGGACAGGGAACAGTGTTGCAGGTGCTGATGGCCAGCGGTACCCAATTCTGGGGGCATTCAGAGGCTGGCCGTTCAACCCTCTCCTCCCCCTTCATCTGGACACATCTGACTGGCCGCACCATCTCCCCCGTGCCACAGGAGGCGCTGCAGGGCCCGAATGCCCCTGTCTCCCACCTGGGATGATAGAGTAAGGGTGTTTGTGCTCTACATGTGATCCTTTTTACTCCAACAGAACCTGCAAAATTCCATGTTCAATTATTCTTTTTGTGGCTTAATTTTACGGGTGGCATCAAAGGAGGATTAGCTCATTCTTGTGTGATATCTGTATTATATTTCCTAATTCTTCAAACTGGAAAGACCTAAATACATGGTTGAAACAAAAACCAATGTTCACAGGGGAGTCCCTGCGACCAGCATCTGGTGAAAAGATCCGGTGAATTAATGGTTTACCGCTGAGAAATTTGCCAGTAATGACACTGGTGCATGATTGGTTAGGCACAAAGATAACTGTACTCGGGAGGGCAGGGCAGGAGGTGGCAGGGAGTCCGCAGGCCAGGGGGGCGAGGGTCCCCCCCACAGAGGGAGTCAGCCAAGGTATCTCCCGTGTTTATATCCTGACACACAACAGTGCTCTGCTGGAGCCCTACAAGAGACAGGTGCAAACATCTGTCTGTCAAACCACATCCAGTCAAAAACATGAAATGGAAATTAAATGTGACCCTTCAGGGCTGCCTTACCTGAGCCGCACGTGACAGAACAGGAAGTGGGGTGCGTCTGCCACTTGGCCCTGATTGAGCTCGAGTTCCTAGGCAGGAAAAAGGAGTAGGAGATGCTGGGGCTGGTGGCTTCCCCATACTCTTTCCCATACTTCCTGTAGACCTGTGGGAAATACAGCATTGGCCCCAGCTGAAATCTGATTGGCCCCTGGAACACCGACTCGCTTGTCACTCACAAATTCAAAACATATCGTTGGCTAACGATAAGGGTCTTATGCCCGCCTCCCACCTGCACGCACGTCTCCTCCGTTACTGGCCCGTGCAGCAGCACCTCCTCTTTGTCAGGCAGGAGGTCAGGGGTCAGGTACAGGCGATAGGTCAGCTGATCGTCCTCCAGAGGGGATGGATGTGTGGCGTTTAGGGACACGCGCCCCCCCCCGGCCACCACATACTTTCCCCGGACCAGTACAGCTGCACACACATGCACATACACAAACACATATATCCTGGGTAAATAAGCAATGGCATTATTACGACTAGGGATTAATTTGTGGAAGAGCTCAGCTAGACTTTGTCAGTTTGACTTCCTCTGCCCGCCCCTGGAGAGTGCCACTGTGGCCTCTGACTTTGGGCAGGGATAATATAAAGTGCTTTGAGACAATGTAATGTTGAGAAAATGCAATATATAAATAAAAGTCTGCACTCTGCCACCTCAAATGCAACACCCGATATCATTTTAAATTATAACATTTAAAATTATAAATTTAAAATTAATTGGAGTTAACCTTTGGAATAAATGCAACTTGAACTAAAGAATGCATATTTATAAAGTTTAATTTCAGAGAACAAGCAGAGTCAGTGAGGAGTGGATGCTGACGCTAATGAAAAGGACGGCAATAAGGAGCAAGAATAGAGCTACACAGATATAACCAACAGGTGTTGATAGATTGTATTGTTACGTGATTAAGTAATTAATAGTGCATTATCATTACTAAAGACTAAGTTTTGTGTATGATGTCATCGTGGTCTTTATGAGCTCCGGCACTGATTACCACCATTTACTCAGGCTGTCTTAGTGCCTAATCTTCCAAATCCACAGGTTATGCTGCTTTCTGTTTATCCTCAGATTTGCTGGATTAATTATTGGATAGTGTTCGTCTGGTAGGTATGTTAAGTGTACATGTCTGGTAGGTCATTTAAATACACCCTCTAAAAAACAAGTCCTTTTTGGGGTATAATGTTATTATTTTTTTAAGGTCAGTACAGGCATTAAGAAATTATTTTTTTCTGACCTCCCACCCTTAGGGGGCGCTCACCTAGATGTGTGAAGAGGGGGCGTGTGTTAACAATCTGAACCCGAGTGGCATTCTGTGGAAGGGTCAGGAATGTGATGTACTCTGCAAAATAGACAAAATGGCAAAAATAATCAGAAATCAGTGAGAGCTTTTCCCAAGATTGCAACGTCAGTTTCGGCCCTTTGGACTTCTTGCACCTTTAGCGCGGCCCTCCGTGTAGGAGGCAGAGATGAGTATGCAGGACGAGCCGTTTCCGCCGCACACTCCACAGGCGTCCTCCACCTTCGTGGAGTGAAGCACACCATCGCAGCCAAAGAGCTGGGGAAAGAGTGGAAGATAAAGTAGGTGTTTCTATGGGTAGGTGTCCAAACTTTCGACTGGTACTGTATATAAGAGCGGTGTATGGCTCAGCGGGTCAGGATGCTGAGCCTGTGATCAGAAGGTCACAGGTTCACATCCTGGTGTTGGCAGAGTGATGTCATTGTTCGGCCCCTGAGCAAGGCCTGGAGCCCCCATGTGGCTGGCTGACCCTGGTGCCTCAAAATGAACACCACTACAAGCATCTGCTAACTAAATGAAAAAGTATGTATTTTTACCTTTATATTTCTGAGTTTGGATATATAATATACCTACACCAGAATTTATATCATCAGTATGTGTGTTAGCTTAGAAGGTTAGATAGACAGACAGACACTCAGACAGATAGACAGACACTCAGACAGACAGGCACTCAGACAGATAGACACTCAGACAGACAGACAGACACTCAGACAGACAGGCACTCAGACAGATAGACACTCAGACAGACAGACAGGCACTCAGACAGACAGACACTCAGACAGACAGACACTCAGACAGACAGACAGGCACTCAGATAGACAGACACTCAGACAGACAGATAGAATCCTAGCTGGAGGTTTGTACCTGGCACTTCCCCCCCAGGCAAGCGGGGACGGAGCCGGGAGGGGGTGGGGAGTTGGGCTCGCAGCGTGTCCCGTCCAAAAACTGCGGCCCACGGCTCACCATGAAGTCCTCTCCCTGAGAGCGACACAGCAGCCTGCATTGGAGGTCTCCTAGGTAACGGTATGTGTTAATGGTTAATGGGGTTAATGGTCAAGGGGCGGGATCAGGCACTTTCAGCTGGCTAGCTCAGCTCATCAGGCACCCTGGAACACTAACCTGTGACATGGCCCACGGCGGGGACCCAGTGGTAGAGGGAGGCGCTGGTGGGGGACAGGCGGAGCGGCTGGGAGTCGGTCATCGAGCACTGCTCCTTCATGAAATCCAGCTGGCTCCCCCTGCAGGGCTGCCCAGGGAACAGGCATGAAGGGCATTATCAAAACACAGCAGCTTTAAACATGTGGCTCCACCTCCCTTAACCTTAACCATAAGTAAACAGACAAAACGCAAGACTTTCATCATTTTTAGTTGATTGCAGTCACAGAATTGAGGTTATCCTGAAAAAAATGTCCTCACAAGGTAAAAAATCTGGTCCTTACAATGTAATAACTGCAAACACACGTACACCCAGACACACACAAACGCACAGACTCACACACACAGCCTGTGCTGCAACAATACAGATAATTGGACAGCAGGGGTGGCCGATCTTATCCGCAAAGGGCCGGTGTGTATGCAGGTTTTTGGGATAACCTGTAGGTCAGCTGTTCAAACCCAGGTGTGAGGACTCTTCAGCCAATCATTAGTAATCTAATTAGGGAGTTGCAGCGAAAACCCGCATACACACACCGGCCCTTTGCAGTTAGGATTGGCCACCCCTGGCTTACAGCAACTGCAGCAGCCTCTGCAGTTCTGCTGCAAACATGACCTATTGGGCTCTACCTGTGTGTTACAAAGTCTGGCCTCGGTGTCCGTGCCCTCGCAGTTGTTCCCGCCAAACGCAGGCCTGTGGCAGGAATTACAGGAGCGTAAGACCTGAGCGCTGGAGACTGCGGACAGCTTCCAAACAATCTGAAGAAGACGGCCCTTCACAAGCCGTGTCTTCAACACGGAAGCTTGCTGTGGCAGCCAAAATGCTGTCAGCCCCAAAGCAGGTCACACTGCTGTGCCTTTGAGGCAGACACTCCTCCCAGAAGAGGAAACATAAGCGACGGGGGTTTGTTACCGGGGGTTGTTACAGTGCCTCCTCCTGGCGCTCACTCCCCCTCCGCAGGTGCGGGAGCAGGGGGAGAACTCGGTCCAGCCGGACCAGGATCCGTGTACCACCATGCTGGCGCTCAGCTGAGATGGGGACACACAGCGCCCTTTCATGCACCACTGGGAAGTGCAGAAAACAAACACTTCACCCAATGTTCATCCACCATTTGTCCCTCTGATTGGTCACCCTGTGTTGCCGGCTGACACCTGATTGGGCGCGCACTCGGTTCCGTCCAGCAGAGGGACGAGCAGGCGGGTGCAGGAGCTCTGATCGCCAGGGACGGTGTGGCAGGAGAGAACTCGGCATGCATCCTGCGGAGAGGAAGGGGCTCTTAACTGTGTGAGTAGGGGGGACATGGCTACCTGGGCAACGACGTGGCACTCACGACATCACCACTCCTGAAGGAGCAGGCCCGGGCGACACTGCCAAATGCGATCCGGCACTGGTCGTCTACGCCGTAGTACAGCCCTGGCTTCCAGTCCTGCAGGGAGCCCCCAAACACAGGCAGGTCCCTCACACAGTCTGCGTGACCTGCACTGTAGTGACAGCCCCGAGTCAGTCAGGAGAAGGACCATGCGCACACTCCCCTACCACCACTCCCGTGACCCAAGAGCCTGCCGGGGCCAGGGGCCACAGACGGCGACACGCCCCGTCACTGTAACCCGGAGACCTGTGGGGGCACCTGAAGAAGCGGCTCAGTTGCTCGCGGCTGCACTGAGACCATGTGAGGTCTGTGCTGCCGTATCCGCCGTCGGCAGCCATGATGAATCCGCCACTGCCACAGCTGTTGCCCGTCCCGTCGTGGTTGATGCCAAAACTGGGCGACACCAAAGCGTGTAAGGGGAGTGGTCACTTTTTAACATCATACAGTAACACCTACAGTTTGAAATGCCATTATCTCTGACAGAAAGACTTATAATAGTACTATAATATTCTCACTAGCCTTCTGGGGAAAAAGATACAATTCCGAGTTGTGTTTGACGGCTAATTTAATTCCAAATTGTGACAAATTATGTCAAAAGCAAACTTGTGAGGTTGACCAGAGATCACTTGTATGAGTGAGGCTCCGCCCATACCTAGCCCCGCCCCCTGTACCTGTGACCTATCTCATGAGCGATGGTGATGCCCAGGTCAAACCCTGTGTCCTCGGTGATGACGCAGCTCCATTGGCTGGTACAGGCCCCGCCCAGCTGAGCCACACCCCTCACCTGCTTATTTCTGTCAGGCAGCTGCAGGTCAAACCTGTGGGGAGACAGGGGTGGGAATTAATTCAGAGTCTCCTGAACAGATCTATGTACTGACCGTAACTAATCTGTGATGTGTAAACAGCTATGTTTTAAACAGGGAAAGAGAACTAATCATATGTGTATGGGAGGCCATAGCAGGGGCAATTCTAGGATTTTTTTAAGAAGGGGGGGGCATAATTCACACAGAGAAGCCAACCAGTGATTTGTTTTGAACTGGTGTGTGACAGGGCAGGGGGCACTGCAGGGGCCAATCAGCTTTCAGCAAGGCCTACCGTGTGATATAGAGAAGCAGGTCAGCATGCAGGGGATCGGTGTCGCTGACGGGATTCACCCTGCGCCCCCACTCACACACGCTGATCAGGGAGGAAGTGATGTTGCCCGTGATCTGGATATCCGGCTGAAATCAGGGATGCAGGCATCACTCAGCCTGCAGAAGGCCACACCCCCATGCCCACCCCCTCACACGAGCGAAATGACCATGGCTACCTCTGGCTCTGTCAGGATGATGGTGCGCACCAGGTGAATCCGCAGGTTGGCCCCCAGAGAGGTGTCCCGGAGCAACTCCGACGCCTTGCAGAGACCCGACAAAACCAAGATGTCTTGAGGATGAGGCAGGAGACTCCGCCTCCTCTGGGCCACATCCCTCTCAGTCCCGCCCACCGCCGGGCGACTCCGCCCACCTACTCACTATGTTCAGGTTGGTGAGGATATAGCGCTCCGTGTCCTGCCTGTGTACCTGCTGCACATCAGCCCCCACCACCACTAGAAGCTCCAGGTGAGTGACTTCAGACAGGGTGGGGGAGCTCCGTCCAAGCCGCACCATACCTGGGAAATAGCGGAAGGGATGGAAGAAAGGGAAGAGGACGGGTTCAAAGGCAAAGGGATCCAGTGACAGCACTGCAGCCCCATCAAACTCTGCATCAACATACCGTCTGCTCAGCACTTCAGGCAATTATCTATTCATTCAATGCCCTTTATTTCAGTGCCATGTGGACCTGTGTTGTTGAAGTAACATGTGCTCGCAAAGGTATGATTCATACAGACAGAGAGCCCTCCTATTTTTCATTCCATTGTACCCCATTCCTCTAGTCCAAATGATCCAAATATTAGTGAAATACCACTACTAATTTTACAGATTTGTTGGCCACTAAACTACAATAGTTTTATATTTTCTTAATTTAAGAGAAAGTTGAACTGCAAAAGGGTTTAGAGTTTTCGAATTTGGAACACTAAATTACCACTGAAAAACACCTCCAATCTTTAGACATGTAAAGGGCACTGTAATTTAATCAGGTCACAAGGAAAGCGTTTCATAACCGACGGATCTGCTCATACCTGAGGCAAGGGATGTCAGACCAAAACTTTGCAGCTCCAGGGACTGAAGAAAATGAAAAAAACAAAAAAACAAAGACTGTTTATTTTTTGCTCTTAGAATAATTGTAAAGCTACACTGCCAGCCGAATCAATACCACTCTTTCGTGTAACCTGCGATCTCTGAAATGTTCGTAAAACAAGACCAATCAATGAAACCTGAAAAGACGTTTGAAATCAACACCAGTAACATGCTTCTGAGTAACTTTTAGAGTATTAGAGGAACTGCTACAGAAAATATTTTGAAAGGGAGCATACAGAAGAAGTCAAACAGATCAAAGTACTTTACAAACAGGCGCGATCATTCCTCAGCTAAGCGCCGCAGTCCGGCCTCACCTCCTCGGCTGGATATCTCCCGGACACCGCAAAACCCGGCAAAAGCGACAGGACACAGATAAATACAACGACTGCCATGTCACTCCTTTGCGGCTGGAAAGGGGATCATTTGGTTTATCCGTAGGGGAAATGAACGAGCTCCTCCTAACGGGACCGAGGGTTGGGGGTAAATCTGCGCTTACACTGAGCAAATATGAGAAGCAAACTGAAAAAGCAGGTTGATCAATGACAGAGTACCCAGTGGACTTGAATTGAGTGACGAGGGTCTGTGGCTCAAAAATGTCTATAGTAAAGAAATAACAATTTGTTCTTGATGTTTATCAGGTAGCGGGTCATATATCGTATTGTATTAATTTGCATTGCCTGTTGTAGTGTTGATATTATTCCAAGACGGAATTAACTGTAACACACATTGCAAATGAACAACCTAACCAAGCAATACAAGAAACCCGTTATCTTTTTTTTTTTTTTTAAGAAACCCGTTATCGTGTTTTGGTTATAAATGAGCTTTTACGAAGTGGTCCTAAAAATGTGTATTCCGCCAGTCTCGAAGCATCTGGAATAAACTGAACTGAATCACGCCCGGACAACTAAACATGAGAGATATGGTCGTTACGGTCCAGTGTAACATTAACAAGATGCTCTGTGAAGAAATTCGGATTAGCCAGCAATAGGAATAGGCTATTACAGACACATGCAATATTAGTTCAGCATTTTGTATTAGTAATAAGTGTCATTCCTTTAAGGGAGAGAGAGAGGTACGTGTGTGTGTGTGAAACAAAAGAATTACCAAAAGTCTTGTATTTTGCTTGGTTACTTATGGTTAAGGGTAGGGCTGGGTAGGGGTTAAAGTTGTCATGTTGAGTTTTCCTCATAGGAATGAATGGAGAGTCCCCACAAAGGTATAATTACAAACCTGCGTGTGTGTGTGTGTGTTTGTTTTATATACATATATATATATACACACACACACACACACAAAATATATAATGATGAAAATGACGACACAGGCAGAGCCTCGGCAAGCGGAGGGGCGCGGCGCGCGCCGCTACGCTCGGCGCCTTGCGCTCCCGAGGCGGGGTGAAAGGTGACGTATCTTCGCCTACAGACAAACATGGCGGAGACCGAGCAGCAGCGACCAGGTAAGGGATGTGCTGCCTTTTCGCGGCTCGCTAACTCGCTGGTAATAGAGCGTTTTCCCCCTGAATATTTCAAATCAGCTTAACTGATGTCTTATGTTTAGTTTTTCAATTATAATAACTGACTGGTGTCATTTCAGTGTTTTCGCGCAGCTAGCTAGCAGATATGGACGTAAATGCTGTTATTTTCCTGCCTATTAACCTGTGAAAATACAGTTTTGAGAAGTTTTAATTGCTTGTCTGTCTCAGTTTAGCGACTTTGTCTCTATGCGGTACAGCTAACTAGCGCAGGTGACTCGTTAATCAGCGAACTAACGACGAGATTGTTTTGGGTGGGTAACCAGAACGGTTACTAACGCTACACTGCCTGCGACTGTAACCAGTTAGCTGTAATATGTTGTTTTTTAAGACGTAACCCCGATTTAGTGATAGTAATCGGGCTTGTTTTATGAAGCAGCTCCCTGCTAGTCGTTAGGGGTTATCGAGTTTAATAAGTGAGTAGTGTGGCCCGACACAGGGCAGGATAGAAAAATACATTGTAAGGAACAAATGTATAATTGCCTTTGAGTAATTTTATATACTCGCAGATGTATTACTACGTGCATTTTAATTGGAAACCTGAGACCGACAGGATGTAAAATCCAAAACCCATGATACGGTCCCTTCTTATAATGTGAGCCGTGCGGGCTCCCTGAAATCACTCGCCCGGGTTCCGGGTCTCTATGGCGCACCGATGATGCAGTGTCTGACCTTTATAATTAACCTTAATGTTAACGTCAAGTTAGCAAACCATAATAGACGATAGTACAACTTATCCAATGTCTGTTATTGCTTGATGAATAAAGCAGTGTAAGTAGTTTAATTTAATCTGATATGTAGATTGCGAGCAGGCAACTAAAGAGCTCATGGTTTTCAAAATAAAATTACAAAATTTCCATGCACAATTGCATCGAAAAAGAACATACTTGGTCAGTCAGGAAGACTAGTATTGTGAAATGTGACAATAAGGTCAATTTCGTGGTCGGTGGTTCCAGTTTTTTAGCTGGGTGTGCTGGTTTTTGAATATCCTGATTCAGATGATTCTCTGCCTTACTTGTATGTCACTTTGGACCAAAGCATTTGCCAAATAAATAAATGGAATTGATTTGGCTTCTACCCAAATGCAACTTACTTCAACCAAGAGAGTAAGAGTTTACATGTAGACTGCTTTGCTCTTAAGGGTTATATGTTATGGTTTTCTATTCAGATACATAGCTGCCCTCGTATAACAACATCTATCCCTCTATATTTAAATTTTACAGTTGTGTCTATTTCACAGATGCAAATCATTTTCTAGTTGTACTCTGTATGGTCAGTTACAAGTCGACAGCATAGCACTGTATTTTCATTTTATGTGCGTGGATGAAGACCACAGTTATTGATCAGAGGGACAGAATAATCCCTAAGGCTGTCAGTGTTGTGTTTTACAGCACTGTGGAGATTAGGGCCCTTTTTTACTCAGGGAGTTTAACTTTTTAAATTAAATATACCAGTCTAAATGAATGTCGAAGCATATTCAGGTCAAGAGACTTGGAATAACTTGCTTAACTTGTTGATCTAAGGGATGTGTGAATCATTTTCCACAAATAGTCCAAAATGTGAAGATCCCACCCCCCACAGGCGCCTCCCCTGAAGATGACAAGGCAGCTTCGCTCCCCAGCTTCAAATTCTGCATCCCCAAGAAGGAGATCAACATGGTGCCCGACATGGGCAAGTGGAAGCGTTCGCAGGTGTGCTGCCTCCCATGACAGATCCTGTGACATCCCGGGTGGGGTATGGCCTCAAAGGTGCTCATATCGGGCACCCACCATCTTGATGACTTATGTCACTAAGGAAGAAACCTCAGCTCACATTCCTTCAGAAAAAAACTTTTTTTTTTTCTTTTCTTTTTTAAATAACTAACTTGCTAATTCCCCCATTAAACAATTACAATAACTGTATCTGGGATTTAAATAATTGAACACTGCTTGCTTAGTCCCCTGGTTCCTGAATACCCCAAGACCTTGAGACCTCACGTGGTTGGTTTGTTGTTAAAATGTGGACTTATCTTCTCCCAAGGCCTATGCTGACTATATTGGATTCATCTTGACCCTGAACGAAGCTGTAAAGGGAAAGAAGCTGACATGCGAATACAGGGTGTCAGAGGTAGGACGGCTGGTCGGTTGGGTGTCCTTAGAGCCAACAACAAGCCATCTGCCTCTGTGTGTCTCCTTGTGGGGCTTCATTTTTTCCACTTGTGACTTTACCGCATGATTAAAATCCCTGCCCTGTTTTTCAATATTTTATGCTCAATATTATTTATAGCGCTGCTGCCTTAATATTAGATGGAACCAACCACAACTCTCTGAAAGCTTTCTTCCAAATTTATGGGGGCGATGTGTGGGTCGGTGGGTTAGGTCACTGTCTTTGAAAAAGGTGCCAGCTCAAGTCTGAGTCGGCCGAGTGATTCCACTGTTGGGCCCTTAAGCCCCGGCTGCTCGAGGGGCTGCATGACCTTGCTTTCAGTTGTATGTTGCTTTGGATTAAAGTGCATGCCCGTTAAATAAATTGTGATTGTAAATAAATGCAGGAAGTTTTTCCGCATTGTGTGAAAGTTCCTCTCTTTTGCGCATGTACCTTTCTTCCTGTTGTCAGTGCTTGACGATGATCACCCAACTGATTGATCTGATTGATTTATTTGCTCGCCCTCCATGTCAGACAGTGCAGAAGCTGCTGGACGTGTTGAACACACTGGACCGCTGGATTGACGAGACGCCGCCAGTGGACCAGCCGTCCCGCTTCGGCAACAAGGCCTTCAGGACGTGGTACGCTAAACTGGAGCAGGTACGCTCTGAGCCCAGCACTTCCATTTATTTCCTCTCGCCGCCATATATTTAGCATCTCTCCCAGCACGGCTGCCCCACAATGCAGAAATTACACCATAGTTGCACTCAACTACCATTAACATTTAAAAGCAAGAGAAGGGGGCTGTGGGCTGCATTTTCCAGGGTGAATCCAGGAGGAAGATTCCTTCAAGGACAATAAAATTCCCAAGCTGCCGTCCAGATACAGTGACACTGTGTGCGGTTCTGTCAACTTTCACAGTTCCCTGGTAGATGTAGCGATTTATGGGTATTTGTTTATGAATCATTAATGCATTCGTTAATGTTTAATGTGTTTATCAAGCTTTTGTAATGTTTTGTTCACTACTTCAGGAGGTCTGTCTTCGGTACAGCAGGTCCACTGGAGATTTTTTGCTGACCTGTTTCTGTGGCAGCTGCTTGGTTTCCTCATTAAGACGTCGATGTTGTCGCTGTGTCTCTGTCCACCACTGCAGGAGGCAGAGGCCCTGGTGTCCACCATCATCCCCCCTAAGCTCAGTGCCGCCGCCCCGGAGGTAGCCGTCTATCTGAAGGAGGCTGTGGGGAACTCCACCAGAATAGATTACGGGACAGGTAATCGCGGTCCGGTCCACGTGTGGAAATTCCCGCTGTCTCCGTGGGTGCCAGTCTGAGAGTTTCTGAGAAGATGCGTGCGGAGCTGAAGGTCAGGACACTCTGTAGGCAGGCTGTGCGTGGCGGTGGGGGACTGTCAGTGGTCTTTACGAGAGAGGAAGCATCCTCAAATAATTGCTTCTTTCCTGAGAGCTTCTAGTTGCATGAATTATTTATACACCTCTAAGAACCCCAGTTCCTGCTCAAAGGTTAATTTGTGCTGTTTCTCTTTATGTACTGTAATCCATTCACCTGCTGTTTTTTGTAAATGTCCTACCTATAGTTGTCAGTTCCATGCGCACCTGCTTTGTTTTCGTGTTTTTGTTTCCATCATTGTAAGTCTCGTGTATGAAACGTTGGGTGACTGCTGGTGTAGAATGCAAGTTTTCCCATCGAGGAGTTGAGTAGCTTGCATAGAACGGAAGGTACATTTGACTGGGGGTTTTTCCCAGGTGGATGTATTGAGCTGCCAGATAGTAGATTATGATGGAGTTTATTGATCCCAGTGGGAAATTCTGTATTGCCACCAGACCTTGTGGAATTTAAGGAAAGTTTCAATTAGTGTCGTATGGGGACAAGGATGTACAGTGCTGCCTGCGGTTCACGAATACAGTCCGTTCCAGGAGAGTGGTCATGAACCAATTTGTACGCGATCCAAGGCAATTTTTCCCATAAGAAAGTATTGAAATTTGAGTAATTCATTCACAAGCCTACCAAATGATTTTTGTTAATTTTCTGGTGTTTATAGTAAAAACTTTAAAGAAAAACACAATATAGCGTGGCGATGGGTGGACTGAGGCATCGCGGGAGCAGAGAGAGACATGGAGACTTGCTTGCCAGGGAAATCATGCTGTTTATTAACAGTCCTTAACCCTTGTATTGTTGTTGTTAATGTTAACAGTTGCATTTCCCTGTTGTCGTGCGTGTGTTTGCCCGTGTCTTCTGTGTACCCAGTCCGATTCTTGTGTGTATTTACCGTGTGTAAATCTTCCACCATGTGTGCATCTTGCAGCTCGGCGTCTGACAACCTTGTGTTTGAAAGTTACCTCCCGTCCTCACAGACTGACTGGCCAATGCGACTCAGCAGCCATGATTTTCGTCATTCCTGCAGGTCATGAGGCTGCCTTTGCCGCCTTTCTCTGCTGCCTCTGCAAGATCGGCGTCCTGATGGTGGACGACCAGCTGGCCATAATGTTCAGGGTGTTTGACCGGTATGCGCCTTTCCTTCAGGGGGCTGTCTTTCTGGGAGGGAAAGGTCATGCTTTAGTCACCCATTGTCACGCAGGAACACCTCAGGGCCATACCTGCCTTGGCTGCTGTCACCAGCCAGACACCAAATTAACTCTCCCTGATCCAGCAGCACATGATCAGAAATGATTGATAAACTCCTCATGGTTGGTGAAGGAGGATCTTTCCATTAGGAAACCTTTAGAAAACAATTATATGGGTGTGAATTGTTTCCTTTTTATCTGCTCGATTGATTCAAAATGCGAATTGTTGGTTTGAATGACCAACAATTGATGCATCTCCTGCAGGTATTTGGAAGTGATGCGGAAGCTACAGAAGACCTATAGGATGGAACCAGCAGGAAGCCAGGGTGTCTGGGGGCTTGATGACTTCCAGTTTCTGCCCTTCATCTGGGGGAGCTCCCAGCTCGTAGGTATGCACAGCTGACGTGTAAATGGCGGGATAAAAGAGAGACCCCTAGTGGAGAGATGATGCCGTTTCGTCCCTGAGCGCTCCTGGTTTGCAGATCACCCCACCTTGGAGCCCAGGCACTTTGTGGAGGAGAAGATGGTGAATGAACACCACCAGGACTACATGTTTCTGGAGTGCATCAAATTTATTAATGAGGTGAGAAAATAGCCTGCAGGATTATGTCAGCAGGTTTCTCAGTCTTTTACGTCTGTGTGGGGTTCACCTGACCTGACTGTGTCCCCGGATCTGCCACGCTGCCATTTGTAAGCGGTCGCAAAGGCAGATGCAGCTATGCACTGTGGACATGGCGGATTGTGTGCTCTGCTATAATGGCCTTTTCACTGGTAACACCTGAAGGAAGCTGGGGTGGGTTTCTGCGGCTCCTTGGGAGGAGGTTCTGCAGTTGTATGCACACACTTGTAACCCCCCCTCCCCCCCCTCCAAATGAGTACAGCCCTCACATGTCTCCCTGCAGATGAAGACTGGCCCGTTTGCAGAGCACTCAAACCAGCTGTGGAACATCAGTGCAGTGCCCACCTGGTCCAAAGTCAATCAGGGACTCGTCAGAATGTACAAAGCTGAGGTAAGGGCAGCGCCGTGATGTAGGACCTGGGGTGCTGCAGATCCTGATAGATGCCCCCCCCCCTGCTGGTGAACCCCGGAACAACATGTCTGAGCAGTAAAACGTTCAGCTTCATGGACAGCTGTCAATTATTACTGCATGCAGGATGTGCACCCTTCAGCTTCCATTTGAGCAGCTGACGGTATTACAGTAACCCAAAGCAAGACTTACACATGAATTTGTCAAGGAAATAATCTTATTAACCATTTAAATAGATGAAGTGGATGGTCTCTCAGGGTTGAAAGAATTGCATGTTAAGGCACATATGTGCAGCTTTACATATAAATGACCTGAGTAGCAGGCCTTGTGTAAGAGAGTGACTGGCTGTGTGCATCCTGCTTAGTCAGTGCTTCCTCTGTTAGCTGCTGGCCCTGCCCTCTTGCTACCCTTACTATTGGTAGCCTGCCAGCGTGTGGGCTGACTGACAGGTCCGTTTAGGCCAGATAATACGGTCTGTGGGCTGCTTTTGGGCTGACTTCAAATACACATCCATCGTGTGTCGCCTGGTGTTCATTTTTGTCTTGACTTAAGGCTGCGTCTGTTTTCTTTGGCTCCATCTGAAATGCATTACTATTTAATCGGCTGCTGTTAATGGTTTAATCAATGTTTAATCAAAAGTTTGGTGCCTCTTGTGACTTGCACTGTGGGCTGGGTATTTTACAGTGAGTCCAAACCCTTATTTCTTAGTCAGATGTGGAGCTGCTTCTTCAGAAAAGGCTTTCGGTACGTCGCTGAAGCTGCCCCCTTAAGGTCACTCTTCTGCCTGTAGGCTCATGCTTTATTCATGCAAATGCTAGTGCTACTTTGCTAGCATGAGATCACAGGACAGCTCACTGACTGGCACTGTAGCCACATGCCTGCTGGTTTGGGGTTTGAATCCCACCATGATTTGTGGCTTGGCAGTTTATATGCTCTGCATCTCTCTCCTGTGAGTCTCCCCCACGTTCCAGATGTATGCAGTTAGGTGAATTGGCATCTCTCAATCCCCCAAAGTGTGTGTGTGCGTGTACGTTTCCCTACTCCTCCAGCCAGTGTGGCAGGGATGGGATGATGGAAGCTTTGGCTGTTTGAACCAGGCAGGGAAGGGTTAAGTAGTACAGATGCAGGCCCCACCTCCTGTTCCGGGACCCACATCCTGAGGCGCTTCCAGAAAACCGTTACCCCCCCTCCTTCCTGCACAGACACGCAGTTCATACCCTCACGTCCTTTGGTTCTGAGACACACAGTCTCCCACTCTGTCTCTAAGCCTTTATTTCCCCCTCCCTCAGTTCCCTGTACTCCTGGTTGTTTTGCATCTCTCCCCATTCTCTGTGGCATTTTTGCACATTTTCACGTACATTTTGAGATGATTAACCCATATATGAAACGTCACCCAGCTCTATGTCAAACAATTGTGTGTGACACACAGAGTTCAATTGCTAAATGATGTAAGATGGTTGGCCAAGTATATTTCTTTATTCCTCAGATGGGGGGGGGCAGGCAGGCAATCTAATCCGCAAAGGGCCGGTGTGTATGCAGGTTTTGGGGATCAGCTTTGTGTCAGCTGCTAAAACCCAGGTCTGAGGACTCTTCAGCCAATCAATAATTGGTAATCTAATTCGGGAGATGCAGCAAAAAGCCCCCCCACATTATGGCTCTTTCTGGGTAAGACTGGCCACCCCTGCTTTAGAATGTTCCACAAATATGCCGTCCTCAGTCCTGCCCACTTGAGTAACACATTTCATGCTGAGTCAGTCTGCCTGTTTCTCTGTGGCTCCCTGCCCTCTTCCTACTCGGGTGTCTGTCTACATCTCTGTATTTGAGAGAGCAAGAGCAAGCCTCCAACCATGTGACCGCTCTGTCCTCTTCTCCCCCCAGTGTCTGGAGAAGTTCCCCGTCATCCAGCACTTCAAATTCGGCAGCTTGCTCTCCATTCAGCCCCTGAAGCCATGAGTCTGGGTCTGGGTCAGAGGAGCCGGGTGGAGGTGGCCAAAAATCGTGGCGGGGGGGGGGAGCATTTCAGCGCTTAGGGATCTATGTACAGTAAAACCTCATTTTCACCTTACGCCCCCACCACCAAATCTCTAGTTTTTTTTATTTCCCTCCCGAGATCAATCACATTCTGTGTGCCAGTTTGAATGTGTGGATTAGCAGAAGATGCAAGTCATCACCAGTGCTGTTTTTACCCGTGTACCTATTTATTTGTATAAATATCCAGACAGCGTGGGAGTAAAATAATGTAAGTGAACCCTAGTTTGGCACAAGTCAACGGAATTAAAAAGTAAATCTGATTTACTATGTATTCCTGTAGTCAGTCTGTCTGAACAGAGCTAGGTTCATCCACTGGCGGTGCAGTGTGGTGATGTCTGAGGTAAGCAGGGCATCCAAATACTGCTTGGCTAAGACGACTCTTTGGGTAGTAAAGAACCTTGATTCTTTAATGCATTTACATTATTTAAAATTGTACATAAGCTGGAAAAAGTCTCAATAAAGATATTGTTTGTGTATGAAAATGAATTGCTGTCAATCAAGTGCACCATGAGCAGACAAGCCGCTGTGGACGCATGGGATATGGCTGCGTATTGGTTTAGTAAACCGACTTCACAGAACAAAGAGGACATACAGCAATAGTTACATTTGTAGTTTTCATATCGGGGCCCTAATTGAACCTAAATCCTGTGAGTTATTGTGACACAGACATACCAATTTGGTACTTTAGTAAAGACTTTCATAGTATTAGGAGAGTCCACTCAAAATCTGTACTGAATCTTTAAGTTGCAAATTTTATAAGTCAGTAGACGACAATGCTCTGCGAATATTTAGGTATGAAATGTTTAGGTGTGTAACGGATATTATGCCTTCTATAGATGATGCTGACATCACTGGTGACATTTCTATTCTGATTTGAATTGACTTACTTAGAATAAAATATATGCCCATTGCAAATCATCTGTATTTTAAACTTGGTCGTAACACCTCAATCGTTTGTCTTGCGTTGGCGCGCTCCATTCCTGTGCAAATTAAATGACGTGCAAATTAAGAAAGGGTGTCCCGTGCTGCTCCTAGGCTTCCTAATCCTCGATTTGCCGCAATTCTGCGGTGCTGCTAAAAGGTAACATTCACTACATATGCACTTAATTGTAAAATCACACCCATTACAATACAGAATAATAAGCATAATAACAGAATTTGTATCACGGAGCTAAGTACGTTTGTTTACATGCAGGCCTAGATGCCTGCTATGGTAAATGTGAAAACGGATTAAGTGCTAAAATTATATACTTCATACAATAATGCAGCACGTAGACTACCCAGGGCATCCGGTCAACTAACACATGGTGAAAATTTTCATACTGCTTGTCTCCTCAAGCTGTTGGGTCAGCTCACAGAAACCAAGCTCTGTTTCTATGATTCAGGAAAGCAAGGCTGGTACCTGTGCCGCTTATGGGCGTTGTCTCCTAGTCATTGGACAACGTGATTAAACTGAAAAGACAAGAGCTTAAAATATAAACATCCGTACAAAGCCCATAATTACTCGCATTGTGTAGGCCTACCTCTTGGGTCTCATTAGCATAGATCGTTGTCAAGTTTGTAGTGAATAAAATATTATATTATATTATTTATTTGTTCGCTTATTTTAAACAGTGGTGCGTGCAGTCTCGTCTTTGATTACGTAAGAAGTTCAGCATTCCTCCCTCTTTCCCACGTTTTCATCTCGTCGTGGATAGACAGGAATTCTGTTCGCACCGACGACAGGGATACAGCGAATAAATGTTAACTTACGACATGACTAACCAGGTTTGAAACGTTGTCCGTGTAACATAATCTGCCCTTCTTCTATTCATATTGACTATATAGCCGTTCTCATTTGCTGTTTGTATCTTCGTTTTTAACGACTCCAGTATTTCGAGTTATGAGAACATAGGTTGCAGCGCAATTTGCGTACTAATTTTATGGCATGTGCTATTTGTTATGGCGGCCGCTAGGAGGCACTCATTGTCCACCAACCGGATCAGTCCCCAATCCACTCAGAACAGAAAACTGGGACATTTTAGCTTATATTTGGCATGGAGCGAAATGTTCTTTTAAAACAATTATAGTTAAAGACGAATACACGATAACTGGTACATGAATAAAATTATAAGATTATTTAGAATAAAATTCGGCTAGGAAAGTATATATGTTTTTAGTCGCTCCAAGAAAAAAAATCAATATATAATCAAAGACTGTAACTCATTCTCAATAGATTTATTTAACATTTTTAAATATTAGGTTATGCTAACTATATATTTCCATTTCAACACATTTTATTTTAACTCGTTAATCCATTGGTTGATTTTTGTGCAAATAAAGACCACCAAAAAGCGGAAGGAAAATTCACCGCGCATATTTACAACTGAGGAATATGTTGAAAATCAACACACAGAAATAACACGCATCAAACCTTTGAAATGATCTATTGGCGATTAGCGACTTCAGCTAAACGACCTGCAGGATCTCGTCGTGATTCGCTGGAGGTTTCTGGCAGCAATGGGAAGCGGAAAGGACGGGAGGGGAGAGACGCGGGGAAGCGCATGGCCGAGGTCAGCATGCGCTGTTGCTCACGGGCTTTTTAATACCACCTTCATTCATTGATTTTGAAGAACACCACCAAGTGGCATGTAGCAGAGATAAACCGAAAGCGCTGCCAAGGAAGGAAAGTGAGCGGCGCGCTGTTTGGGACTATGCGAAATAACGCGCAGACATACACTTCATCTAGGGGTATTGGACGTGAAAAAATCCACCGCGATGAAAGGCATTGTAATATGTAATATGTAATATAAGCTATCACATTTGACTGATCGTGGTTATTAAGGGATAGCAAATACGACATGATTCTAATTTCTGGTAAAGTACTATCATTGAGGTACGCCTGCAGTTTAGTTATTTGACGACGTACCCATCAGAAAGAGTAATTGCATTTCTGCCACGTCACAAAAATGGAAATATCTACACATCTGTACTATAGTCAAAGTTAGTGTTTACTTGCTGGTACCAGTAAAATAGTGGCCACAATGATTTACTGCCAAGTTTCAACTTAATCTTCTAGTTAGGTTGTGAGCTAGTTAATCTATTCCAATAACGAAAAGAATGAACATGTTTTAGTCACTTAGAGTAAAATCTGTTCCATTCTGGTATGGATCGTTATCAGCTGTTCCAAAAGTTAAAATGTGCAACTTCATAACTTGGCACTATTCTGGGATCCGCTTAGCTTGGTGTGATCGATAAAAAAAAATCCTTGCCTTTCTGAATCAGCAAGAACCAGCATTATCTAGTTACTGTGAGAGGCTTCAAGAGATTCCACTCCGGGACGGTCGGCTTAAGAATGGCTTCCCACAGATGCAAAGACTGTCTTTCATGCTAATTCCGGAGATATCGCACCTTTCTTGAGATCTTAAGGCCTACCACATATTGACATAAGAAAGCAAGAACTGCCTCCAGCTATTAATATTTAAATGGTGTTAACTTTTACCCAGTTTATCATGTATCATAGATTCGTGTGAACAGAATCAATAACAAAAATATGGAGAATGAAAAAAGTTTTTATTTTGATACACATAGTGCTTATACTGAGAGGGTGCATGGCTAAATCACAAACTGCCTTTTTAAAACAAAAGGTCAGGATAGCAGAAACTTTAAAACCCACAAAACCAATGCTGGCATAGTGAATTACCGTGAAGGATCAGACACCAATTTGCAGTAAAGTCCGGGAAAATAAAAACAAAGTGACACTCAGCAGTCCAAATTGCTATTAAAACCTAAGGATGGATCAAATTATGTACTGTGTGCATTCTGGGAGCTGTAGTAAAAAGTCATTACTCCAATCTAAAGGTTGATGGGAAAATTGACACAAGATGACTACAAGTCCCACAAACTGACAACACACAGCACCCCAGTGAAGACCACAAGAGAACGAATTATGAAAAACAAAAACATACACATTACAGTTTCACTGGGAAAAGAAAATAATTTTTTCCCACATTCACTCTTTAGCGAATATTTCGACTACGTTGCGGTCACATCGTCAGGATGTGCCAAGATTCCCGTTACACTGGATAAAGCTAAAACCCAGAGTATACTTTTGATGCCCACGTTGTTAACACGAATAACAGAAAAAAACGAATAAAACTTAAAAGCGCCAATATATAGCTAGGCTATATGCGTTGCTCTAAATAATTACCTTTTAGTGTATAAAAAGAAAAAGCTACAACAACAAAAAATAGTACTGGTGTCTGAGCAAGACGCAGAAAGACTTTTCCATTTAAACTGATATTTTAAATATCCATTCATTCGTGTAGTGTTCTAGTAGTTAACGGTGTCAACGTTTTTATTCCTTCCACGAAGGCAAAGTTAACGAGTGAAACATTCAGTCACTTAAAAGAAAATGTGTGTAGCGACACATCTAGCCAGCAGTATGCGTTGAGTTTAAGGCAACGAAACTGGAGTTTGTTAAACGGGAATGACATTAATGATCTAATTGCTGTGAAATCTTTGAAGTTAGCATTTTAGATGTAAAGGAAAAGCCTACACATCACATGTGGCACGACCAACACCCCCTCTCAAATGTCTCAAACGATAATGAAACAGACAAAACCTGCTCAAATATTTAAATAGCCTAGGTACTCTTCTTGCAAAAATAAAACCAATTTGTCTTAAATTCTGTACAATTTCATTAACTATTTTTCTACTAACACGCCATGGAGTCAAAACGCCACGATGGCTCTTGTCCACGCTCCAAGGCTCGCCAAGACCTGCTTGCTACAGAACTGTCCGTTCAGGGACTGCTCAAAGTCCGCCTGCCGGTTCACCAGCTCCGTAAACCCCGAGCCGAAGATCGAGATTAGGTTGGAAATGCTCGAAGAATCCAGCTGCTCGGAGGTCGGGCAGGGGAAGTCGTCGGACCTCGCCTTCTTGCATTGCACAAAGTCCGGGAGCTCCTCAGCGTAGTAAGCGAAGTCCGCCTTGCGCTTCTTGGCGAGCACCGGTGCGCCCTGGCAGCAAGGCTGCGGAGGAGCGCAGCAGTCCTGGTGCAGGTACCCGTTCTCCACCGTGGTCACTACATGCGTGTCCAGGTCAAGCACCGTTGTCTTGTTGCAGTGCGCGCCGGGTGGGGAGAAGTCGCAGCTGGGTAAGGGGTAGGGCTCGGCGCAGCAGCTCCTGTAGAAGTCCTGCTCCTTGCACGCCTCTTCGCCGTGGAGCGCAGCGCAGCCTGGCGCCGCTTGAACCGGTGTCGGAGGAGACGCCGCTGGATGCAGCGCGCAGCAGAGGCTCGCCGGTTCTCCCCCAGCACTGCTAATGCAGCACCCCTCACCGTCCTCGGCGAGATCAAGCGGGTCCAGCTCCTGGATCTCGTTGCACACGGTCATCACCTCCTCGTACTGCTGCATCCTGTAGATCTCCGCGTACTTCTCGCTCATGTACAGCTGCCTGGCGTTCCTCAGCACGTACGAGACCAGCAGGTTCTTGTGCAGCTTGATGCCTCCTCGCTGCGTTCTGGAGTTGTGGATTTTCCGCAAAGAGATCGAAATCAGACTCTGTGCGTCCACCGCGCACTCCATCGCGTTGATCACGGACTGCCGTGTTTGTGTTCCCCCTCTTCCCTTATCAAGAAACGGGACTCCCTTTTACGTGAAATCACTGTGTCTGCTTCAGAGCGACGACCAGTGTGGCGTCTATAGAGAAACATTGAAACACAACTCCCCCAAACCTCCCGCATGCAAGCAAGGAATCAACGGCTTCAGCCGCTTAGCGCACAAGATATATTTCGTGAAGGTTTCGGCCCACAACGCCCTGCACCAATAGGACATCGCGCTTGTCTAAGATTGATGTTCTTGCTCCGCCCACTGGTGCGCCCCGTGGCCAATCAAAAAGACGCGGTTCCTTTGTACTATTCAAATACCAAACTGACTTTACCAGAGCGGAATGTTCTCATGAGAAATATTGAGCGAGTGACTGAATGCCACGGTAATGTGTAACTCCAGTATACAGGCAGGCACCCTAGAAACTTAATTCTGTTAAAAAGTTAACAGAGGATTAAAATGGAAGTTGATCTTTTAGTCATTTGCTATTTGCTAGCTTATTCTGCAGCCACTGCTTCCACGGCCTTAATAGTGTAAATTTATAAAAGTACGTTCATGCGTTTTATTATTAAAATATCCTTGCTCCTTGTATGTTTCGGGGTAAATTCGATGTCGCAGATAAAATGTTCAAGCAAAACTCATTTTAGTAGCAAAGTAGTAATTTTGGATTTATTTTGGATTATTTAAAAGCAGGATTTGAACTGATAAAAATGGTATTAGCCTATATAATATTGTCACATCTCCACACAATAATGTATATGCCAATAAGCATGACAATGCACAATAAACCCCAATAATGACGGCATGCAATTAATTTTACTTTAAATATCTCATTTAAAAACTCTAAATAGTAGGCTTAATCGAGTTATTTAATTGTCAGATAAAGACCACAACGGTTACTCAAGTTTTCTTGTTTATTGTATTAGAAATTGCACAATAACCAGCAAAAACGCATATGAAATACACTAAAACTACACTGTCAAATATGGTAAAAGTAAAATGGTTTTAAAAAAGAAAAACATAGGTAAACAAAAGCAAAATTCTTTCACTTTCTTCCGCAGTTATCAAAGATAAGTGGTTAGACCATAGTCAAAAATGTTATTTTGTGGGAAATCTGTTTACGTAAATAAATATGGCGGGATTTTCACTGATGCTTATTTACCTGAGACAAAGCGATCTGAGGAGAAAGTAGATCCAGAAGCCGCAAGATAGGCTAAGCAAGAGATTAGCTATTCCGGTGTGCGGCATTACACGTGAAGTTATAAAAAGCAACAAGGAATCAGTTAATGGAACTGAGCGAGGAGGCAGCACGTCCGAAGGAAGAAGAAAGAAGCCCAGTAACGGCCATCTGTATTATTAACACAGAATACACTTGGATATTTTACAGGATGTGTAAAATTCCTTAAAGGTTTCATATAGGGTGTGTAGAACATCCCGTTATTCTTACAGTCAGAAGTAGAATTCGATGTTAAATTCTATTTAATTGATGTGGTCGTCAGGCAGGAGATCGTTTGTTAATCAAAACTGCCAAATGCTTTTCTCTTTTGACTTCAGACATTTATTAGCTCTCAGCCAGCATGTCGCCAGGTAACTCTGAGCCAATCAGAAGCGGCGTCAGGAAAAGCCACGTTGGTCGTCGCCGCTACACTTCAGTCTGCCGATGGAAAGTTTTTATTTTTGCCACAATTAATTCAAAACATATAAGAACGTTTACCATAAGCAAACGCATGGTATTCAGAGTGTTAGGCCTACATTTGGGTCTTCCCATCAGTCCGGTTGTCTAATTGCTTTGATTTACGGGATAACTGGCTAATTTCGTAGACACACATAGTGTGTTTTTTTTTATCTTGTTCTGGCATACACATACATAAATCCTGCTTCTGTTTTGGTAAAACAATCATACATAGGCCTATGTAAACATTCGGATTCATAGCTTCACACCAGTGTCTGTTATACTGACAAGTTTTTTCATGCAATGTCCCTGTTTATATGAAAAATCATCTGCATTTTTAAAATTTGATTCTTTAATATGTCGGTGTCATTACGACTATTTAATAAGGCTGATGTCTGTTTCCAGCTCTGTTTATCTATCATCTTTCTGAAATTACATAATTAGACTAACCTGCATGTACTTTGATTGCTTCCATGTAGCAATTCCATTTGTTGTGATTTACATTTGTAGTAAATAACTTTGAATACTATTAGACCTTGCGTTTTTTTCTAAATATTTCCACGGCAATGTTGTCAAAACGATCTGCATTGCCGGCAGCACTGAGTATAATTTGCAAATATTGGGTGCTGGGAAATTCTTGGTTTTCTATAGCATAAAAACAACGAGACTGGGCAGTTTTCAGTTAGCCCGTTCGTTAACCCTCCCTCCCCCCTCCAGAAACTGCAGGTTAAATAGTATGCTAAGCGGCATGTTTAAAATGGACCTGTCATTATCACTACTTGTACTATTATCTCATTTTAATGGAGAAAATAATGGTGCATTGATACTTCAAATATCAGAAACACAGCTCATGTATGCTCCAAAGGAGGAGATCGATACCTGTACCGAGGAGGAAAGGCGCTATGGAGCTGGAATGGTGATTAGCCGTACTCTGCCTGCGCACGAGAGCGGCCATGTGGGACCCTGTTATTTTACCGCTTTTACACTTACGCATGATCATGCGGCAAAGTTATTCCGTGTATAAGAGCGAGTCGGTTTTATGCGATATAGTTTGCAGTGTGTCTCCTCCCGCGCCCCCCCCCCCCCCCCAAAAAAAAAGAGTCGAAAAAGACTTTTGGGAATCTTTATAATTATTTGGTCAATAGTCAAACATAATTCTACTAACTAGGCCACACACACATACATATGTGTAACAGTGAGATTCAAGGTTTTATATTTCTCACATGCATATACAACATCTGAGCAACATCAGAATAATTTAAGAAGGAATAAGCAAGAATACAGTTACAAGGGATATGAAAAAAATAAAATATATATATTTTTTTAAATAGAACTTTGAATATAATACAGATTTGAACAGATTTTCAGATGTGCAATATGCAGTTATAAAGTTAAAGTGCAGTGTGCAATGACAGCATAACAGTGAAGAGTAAACCTGAGTGACAGTGTAGCGGCATGAACAGTGCAGTAACAATGGAGACAATATGCAGTGATGAAAATTAGACCTTGAGAAGGTTGCTGTCCGGGGATCATGAACAGAATACTATAGTATAATACTATAATAATATGCTATAATACTATAATATATAAAGTACCATTATACACACACAACCATGTTAAAAATGAAGAGAGACCACAGTGCAATTTTTTGTTTCACTCATTTCTCAATATATGGGTGTGTGTCTGAATAATTTACGTATTTTTTTCAAACTATAGCCTGACTCTTCCCTGCTTCTCAGTGATGAAGGGCTTCTTCTTTGCTTTATGGGTCTTCAGTCCTGCTTCTAGGAGCCTGAAACGAACTGTCCTAGCAGTGCACTTCACACCTGCACTTAATGTTTCCCATTCCTTTTGAAGGTCACTTGATGTCATCTTCTGATTCATGAGAAACTGTTGTATAAGTTAACAATCATCTCTGCTATTAGAAAGTCACTTCCGCCCTTTACCTGACTGGTTTCTGGTCCTTCCCAGTGTCTCCAGCTTCACCTTATTCTTGTGTACTGCAACCTGCTGCTCAGCATAGCCTCCTGCCAGCAGAACCGGAATTAAACCAGGATTTTAAAATGCTTATTAGTTTAAAACTAAAGAGTGGTCTCCTAATTATTTCCACAGCTGTGTATATATATATTTCCATGTGCATGTCTATATCTATAGACACACACATGCACACACACATACATATATACTGTATGTATTATGTATATATGTTATATTTTATAGGCACCTAGATAGCCTGACAGTTTTACAGCTTAGATCACAAGGAATCTGTATACACAGAAATACATTGGGCTTCGAACCCACAACCCTGGAGGTGTAAAACAACACCACTGGCTGGCCAGCATACTGCTCTAATCAAAGCCAAATCTTCTCCCTGCACCAAAAGTTAAAGCTCCTTTCTGAACTCACACTTTCTATACAGAACTACAGCCCCTCCTCCTATAGACATGGCAACCAGCACTCTCTGAACTTCTACTATAGCACCTGTCTCATACATGGTCACGGGGGTCCGGAGCCTATCCCAGAAACAATGGGTGCAAGGCAGAGAATAACGGAGGATGGGGTGCCAGCCCACCACAGGGAACACGCCATTCACCCATACCGGCATTATGGCAACTCCAGTTCACCTCAACATGTTTTTGGACTGTGGGGAAACCAGAGAAAACCCTACAATGACACAAGGTGAACATGCAAACTGGTCTCCAGCGCTGTGAGGTGACCAAGTTAGGTGTCACTGCGCCGCTGGCTCTCTGAACTTTAATTACTTAATCACTCCAGACTCTCGTAAGTGCCAAATCACCATTGCTATGCCACAGTTGAGGTAGAATGAACAGGATGTGCTTGTGGCCATCTGCAGTGGCTAAAACATAGTTTCTGCACCATCCATGTAAAATTTTGTGGCACCTCCTTAACAGAATAATAGTGTTAGAAAAGCCTCTCTGTAGAAACAGAAAGACTATAAGAGGTTGTCTCACACTCACAACCTGAGGTCTATAGAGTTCCTCAAGGTCATACTACAACTTATCTGTTTATCAAAAACAGTTCATTTGTACAATAAATATCGTGAACCTCAGAAATATTCAGACATGAATTCACAGAGCAAATTACCTTCGAAGTTTCATCCCTGCCTCTGATTCTCTGACATCTGGAAGCTTCTCCAGCAGTAACTGCTGGTATGATCGGTCACTACACCTTACTTTTTTTCATGGGACGCCTCACTGTATCCCCTCCATTTTGAAAATAAGCAATTGCCACTGCCTAAAATGTTTTTAAATTTGGCTCAAATGGTTTTCTTTTTTGTAAGTGACAGGTTTCAATCCAAAAAGTTAATAATTTCAATCTTTTACTATGAGTCTAGGTGGGCATTTACTGAAAGTACTACACAATAAGTTCTTCGACATATAGAGTAAAATGGGAACAGAATACATCTATATTAGTATTAGTATAAACCAAAATATAGCCTTTTCCTTTTACGCCCCCCCGCTATCTGTACAATAATCCATTA